TAAATGAACTCAAATGGAAAAACTTCTAACTACAAAGTTTTAAATCTTGTGAAGCACAACAACTTTGGTATAGGATGTATCTGCATCAGAGATAGTTTGAAGAATTCAAAAAAATAAGTCTTAGAACATGTGAATTTCAAATACATATTTGAGACTCTAGGAGACTTTAAATAAAAAACTTGTCAATATCAAACATGTAGATCAGGTCGACCACTAGAACTTTGGTATTAATTATGTGAACATTTGAGATCGTTAGGAAATCGAAATTTTAAATTTCAAAATTTATAACCTTCGAACATATATTTGGGACTCTACACACCTTCAAATTAAAAATCTTTTGAACTACAAAGTTGTAGATTCTACTGAGAACTATAACTTTTATATAGACCATGTCAACATCTGAGATTGTTTGATAATTTTAAATTTCAAATTTCAAAATCTGTGCACTTACAACAATATTTTGGGACCGTAAACAGTTTTAATTCAAAAACTTTTCAACTACAAAGTTGTAGATCTTGTCGAGAGCTACAATTTTGATATAAAGTTTATCTTCATCCGAGTTTATATAAAAAAGTTATGAATTATTTTTTTACAATCATTAACCGATGCGGACATCTCAAGACATCCGCCTTCGAAAATAGTCAATTAACCGAGGCGGTTGACTTACGGTACCCACCTCAGCTAATCTATTAACCAAGGTGGGCGCGTCCATTAATGATTAACCGAGGCAAGCGCTTGGCCGGCAGCCCTGCCACCGATTAACAGCGGCGGGCAACTAGCTCGCCCGCCTCGGAGATGCAATGCCAAATACTGTGCAAAAGTTTGTCTGTAGTAGTGACACCCCTCCCACAGACGCGCGCACACATGGGTTTTTGGTTTTTGCTTTGCTTCTCTAGGCTCATATTGCCTTTTCAAATTTCGCCTCCCACTCCGCCTAGAGAACACAGGGAAGGATCTAGTTGGTGAGGCACTGGTTTGTGTTTTTTTGCTCTTCCATTCGGTGCAGGAGTTCTCCACACTTCCATACCGACTAGAACCTGGCCGGTGATGGAAGGCGGATCTCTCCACCATCTGACCAAGAGTCTCTTACATCTCATCTCCCTACTAGCTAGTGGATCGGCCCATATAAATTTGATTCGGGGGATAAGCTGAGTGTCTAATCGTTTTGTAGCGTGTAATTATATGTACTCGTGTGTCAAAGTGTCACGTGAGAACTATTTGTCTATTCTCTAGTACTCGACTATGTGAGTACATGCCTCAAATCGTACTTGGACAAAATTTAGTGTGGAACCATGGTATTTGTATGCATATTTACTGCTACAGTAAACACCATTTAAATCATATAATCGGTCATCTAACCGTTTAATCGGTCAACATCTAACCGTTTACGTCTCGCTGGTTTGGTGTGACAGAGAAATTTACGATGTGAAAGCCAACGATGTTAGTGTTTAGCATCTACGGTAACACCTCGAGAGCTCATTTCCTCCGGCCATAGTGATCAAGGTAGGTGAACAGAGCATGCATGTATATTTTGCCCTGTTCGTTTCTTCTCCATTGCAATTTTCTATTTCATGTATAGTTTGATATTTACCGGGTCAAACTGGTTTTTACCCCTATATCGATCACTCTAAGATTCATGTTGGGACTAATCCAACAGAGGGCTCCAAACATATATATGTAATAAAAACAAAGACTCCAAGTATCAAACCTTGTGGATACAACTTCCCTAGCTATGGTCCAATAAGTTTGGGTCCCACTAATAACTTCATGTATGCCATAGTCTTTTTTTTTTGTTTAGTAATTTATATGAAGGTTGATTACTGTTTGGGTCATGTTGTCATATTTTCAGAACTCTGCCATGTTGGTTTTTGTGTAAGTAACCCTATTTCTACAAAAAGGAAAACATTATTTAACTTGGCATGGTCTTCTTTGGATTTCAAAATGCATGTAATATGCACCTTATAATTCTGGATGGAGAGACTATATGACATACTCCTATATATGTTTACTACGATATTTTCCCAAGATCTTTTTACCACATTACTTGAATTAGAGGTGGCCCGGGCTAGACAGCAGCGCAGAGAAATGGCGCCACAAAAAAAGGAAGATCACATGGAGACAAGTGGACAACGCAGGAGCTGAAAAAACACCTCATCCACATGCAGAGCCGGAGGCCCTGCCCACCTCACAATGCCACCCCAGCCTGCTCCCAAATATCCATCCAAATTCATCCAATGGCAGGGAAACAAATCCTATCCCCTCCTACGCCGGCCGTTCACTCACACTCACCTAGTCACCACATTCGTTCTCGCCGCGGACGCGAGAGGTGAGTGAGACCACCACAGCCGACAACAACAATGGCCCTGGAGACGTGCTTCAGAGCGTGGGCGCTGCACGCCCCTGCTGCTGGCAGCAAGGACAGGCTCCTCGTCGTTGGCAGCAGCGGCAGCGGCAGCGGCAGTAACCTGGTGCTGCCGTCGAAGCGGGCCGCCGCCGCGGTCGCGCCGCTGTCTGTCGGCCGGGTAGCCACGCGCCGGCCGCGGCACGTCTGCCAGTCCAAGAACGCCGTGGACGAAGGTAATATATAGGAGTATTTAATTTCCGACGGCAAATATATAGATAGATAGACTGATGGCCCTCGCTGTCGTCTCTGTGTGGCTTGTTGGGCATGGATGCAGTGCTGGTGGCGGACGAGAAGAACTGGGACGGGATGGTGATGGCGTGCGAGACGCCGGTGCTGGTGGAGTTCTGGGCGCCGTGGTGCGGGCCGTGCCGGATGATCGCGCCGGTGATCGACGAGCTGGCCAAGGACTACGCCGGGAAGATCATGTGCTGCAAGGTGAACACGGACGAGAGCCCCAACGTGGCATCCACCTACGGCATCCGCAGCATCCCCACCGTGCTCATCTTCAAGGGCGGCGAGAAGAAGGAGAGCATCATCGGCGCCGTCCCAAAGTCCACGCTCACCACCCTTATCGACAAGTACATCGGCAGCTCATGAGCATGCATGAGCTAGTGACTGAGCGAGAGAGCAGCTCAATGTCTCATGCTATGCTATGCCCCCGAGCTGCATGGGATATTGGGATTGATGATGATGCATGTGAAGAACTAAATACATAAGTGTTCATGCTCGCGCATATACACCAGCCATGTATCTCCTCTAGTCTTGCATACGGATATGATGATCGATGCGTTAATTAATTCAGGCAGCCGTCTGCTACTGCTCCGTTATTATATACTTATATGTATACTTCTATGCCAAATCCAAAGTACATTAATTAGTTTCAGTGCATGATTTCCCTTCATATATATATATATATATATATATATATATATATATATATATATATATATATATATATATAGCGAGAGTATATTCAGTAGCCAGCTACAAAATAAGTTATTCTGTAGCCACCTCCATTTACGATAATTTTATATACTAATTTACGATAATGTCAATACATATTTACGATAGTTGGGTTACTATAACACATGGGGATATTTACCATAACGTTATAGTAAACCACTTAGTAAGGAGTTACTATAATCTCGTAAATTAACATAGTAATTATTGTAACTCAAAGTAGATACATAATAAGTTATTTTGTAGCCACCTACAGAGTAGTAGTTCTATCTCTCTCTATATATATAAATTCATATGTGTATATATTGTTGGTGATGTGCCCAAATCATACTTGTTATGGATTGGATCCATAAGGGGACTAAAACATAATCCATTAGTATAGTACTAATGGGCGTTTAGTAAGGAACGACTTTAACGTTTAAAGCCCATGATAAGTATAAGTGAAGATGGAAAATACAACGTTCATTAGCGCTGGTTGATGTTGAGATAGGAAGTTCTTCTCCCTATATAATGTACCAATACCCTATGAAAAAGACAACCCTTAGTCCTTCAAAGCCTAATAATCCTAAGCCCCCTTTCTCTCCCTCTCGGCAGCGCGCCAAGTGCTGGGAAATTGGAATAGCCAATCCTCTGGCTCTCCTGAGCTTGGCTTTGTCATTAGGAGCAGTGTGCTGAACCTGACGAGATAAGCTCGTGTGTTTTGTCACACGCATACTTTCCAGAACCTCGTGTGTTTTGTCACACACGCATACTTTCCAGAACACCATATCTCCAGCTACTAGTCACAATACATTTGCTCAGGAATGATAAATACACATTAATGTAAACCTTCCATGTTAATCCAACAAAAGAAAAGAGGAAGCAAGAATACCCTAGAGCGGTGTTTAGCAATACTAGTGAGTAGTGATCAGCGAATGACAAGAATACCCTAGAGCGGTGTTTAGCAATACTAGTGAGTAGCGATCAGCGAATGACAACGCCATGCTCACGTATACAGGTCAACCTGCTGCTATCAAGTATCAAGCAACCAAACGAGCATTCATCACAAGAACAGGTACCTGCTGCTATCAAGCAACCAAACGAGAGCATTCATCAAAAGAACAGGTACACAGATGAGACATCAAGATTCACACCCACTTTAGAAAATTTTCCTGATGCTTTCCACTAGTAAATAACAGCTTATACATAGTATAGAACAGCTACAATGAGATTCTTGGCCATCAAAGGTGGAAATAGGTACTCATGCTTTCACAACTTACGGAGAGCCATGGTACACAATAGTACAAACTGGAAGAGAGAAATCATTGTCATCCAACCCGAAAAAACAGGGGAAAGACGCTCTGATCTTCCCCCAGTTTGGAATCCACCAACACTTGCCCCAATGAGAGCTCAGTGAAAGTAGGCTCTGATTTCCGGCTCTCTTTTTTGCGGAATACAAAGGAACACAGCCATAAAGACGGTTGTTGTGACATATACTGATCATCGCTAATGTTTCCTTTTTGCTGTAACATGTAGCATGCACCATCAGTAAGAACCCGCCGCTTCCGAGGGAGGGCAGGTTGTGGAGACGTAACTTTCATGTTGTCAGTGATGGACCCAGCAAGGATAACTGTATAATATCTGATTCCTGCTCACTCTACTGAGCCGACTTCCAGTCGTATTGAAGGTTATTGAAGCTGTTTGCTGCTCTAAGGCCCCCGAGCAATTGGTTTCCTAAATCTCGCTGTTGCTGCTGGTGGCTCAACTGTGTCAGGTCATGCGCACTGTGATTCATCCCGGTCCTTCCATTCATTGCCAATGCGTTGTTTCCCATTGCTGTTCTCATTTGTTGACCAAGGCCACCCATCATAGCCCCAAATCCCATTCCATTGATTCCAGGGTTATTTGTCATAGGGTTACCAACTAAGGAGTTGACACCGTTCAGACCAGGAGTAATTGTGTTTGCTCTCCTCATATCGCTTCCCACTGGTCCAACACCATTAATATGGGATTGCATCATCAAGTCTTGCAATATCCTCTGGACCGAGCTTTGAGACTCATTTGGCTCAGGTTCCTGAGGTCGACTTGTAGGTGTTTGCATAGGAGGTGGGTTTGATGACATGGTTGGTGAATTCATTTGGCTTGAGTGCTGAGGAGCAGGCATCATATTGCCATTTGATGCTGAGGGTGCTGGCGAAAGAAATGACGCTGGTCCATTTGATTGCATGGAGTTCGTTGAGTTGGCCTTAGCAACTGAAGCACTGTTTCCACCATTATACAGACCATTGCCACTGCTTGTTGGATGGTCTTGTCTGCCACTTACTGAGCCTTGGAGGAGACCAACAACAGATGAAGAAGATGGTGCGGAAGTAGATGGTGCACAATTGAGTCTTGACGTAGCATCACCATTGACAGAGGCAGAGACTTGCATTCCAGTTGCAGGAGCAGAATTTTGACCACTCTGGTTAGAATTCTGTGGAACGGGTTTCTGCTCCTCAGATGGCTGCTGGGCTTGAACAGAACTAACCCCTGAATTCCCCCTCCTAGGGAATTTATGCAAGCTCTCTGGAGAAAAAAGAACATGATTGTGTACGTGAAAAACAAGCAGAAGAAAATGATAAATACCAAGGCTTGCCACATTAAAAATGTTAAACAACTTATCAATAATAATACTATAATGCATGCCAACTCATAGCCAGTAACTATATGTTGTATGTTCAATAGTATATTTCATTAGCTTTTCATCTAGACAAAATCCTAGAGAAACTAAGATACAGAGATTTGGATTGATAAGAGCTATATAAGAAACAAAGATGTGATGAACATTAACCGATAGAAAGTGTCCATATTTTTTTTAGCTATCCTGCTTCTGTGTTAGAACATGACACACATCCCTTACCAAGATAGTGTCAGAAACATATGGGCTGCAAAACACAGAAACAGAACTGTTCCAATGTGATAGGGTCATTGACGGCAGAAGATATGTGCAAGTAGGATGGTTCAAAATCAATAGTAGAACAGACAAAATCCCTAAAGGTCCGTTTGGATGTTGGCATTGAATTGGGTCAACAGAATTGGATCTTCAATTCAATTACATGATGAAATGGTATTGGACTATGATTCCATTTCTGTTGTTTGGATGTCTTCTGAATTGGCCAGGTGGAAACTAGAACAAACACAATTCCAAAAGTTGTTTGGATGTCCCTCTAACGGAAATGAAAATGAGGATTACTCATGGAGCCGGCAGCCATCCACGAGGTTCATGGCGAGGAGCGGACAAACCACGACGAGCTCACAACGGCTAGCGCTGCAGGGACCCACGGCAGGCGCCGCCGACGAGATCCATGGCGATAGCTCACACGACGAGATCCATGGCGGGCAGCGCGCGCGGACGAGATCCATGGTGTCCGGCACTACCGAGATCCACGGTGGGCGGCGCTGGGCAGCTTCGGCGGTGGGCGGCGGACGACGACGCAGGGCAACTCGATGGCAGCAAGCTGCAAGCCGTGTTGCCGAGCTCCGACAGCGGACGACGGTGTTGGGCAGCTCGACGGCGGCGGGCAGCGATGTGGGGCAGCTCGACGGTGATGGGCGATGCAGCCGAGGTCCTATGGCAGACGACGACGCTAGGCAGCTCGACGGTGACGGGCAGCGCTGTTGAGCTACAGCGGCGTAGGGCTGTAGCTCGTGCGGTCGTGCTTCGTTCGGCTGATTCCGACCAATACATACCTCTCTAGCTCGGTATTGTGACTGGCCGGTTAGTAACTATGGCAATACCATATGGAATTTGAGGTCAAATTCGAAGAGTGAATTCCAAGACGTCCAAACACGTGGTATTGAAAATATGCAATTCCAATTCCCTGATTCCTATCTCAATGCCAACATCCAAACGGGGTGTAATAAAACTTGCAGCACTTGACAAATGAGAAATTAACATTGATACTGTACTTGAAGTTACAGCGGAGTCAGAATTGGGTGAACTGGTACAAATAACATGTTTCTTTCTCCATATTGAACAAATTATGTTTCAAAGCAAGAATACATTAAGCAAAAAGAACGGGACAAAAAAGGTAAGTAATACTGCACCTATTGGACCAGATCCAGTCTGCCTGCTGTGATCGATCAAATCTTTCATACAATTGACAACCTCTGCAATCTGATTATCAATGTTTAGACAAAAAAAAGATTAAACAGGGTGATAACTTCACTTAAATAGGAGAGTGGCATAAAAGAAGATGAAATTGGTAGCTAAATCTACATGGCTAAGTACAATGGAATCATGTGGAGTTGTGGACACAAATTGCAAGAAAGTAGGGGATAATATTAACTGAATCAAAAGTTAAACTTCAATGGAAATGCGTAAGGACTCATGAAACAGTCGGTACCTGGAGGCAGCGGACATATCTTTTCGTGTATCCTAAATCATTTACCAATGGCACTTCCAGTGCCTTAGCCAACTGGCGAGCACATGCGACAAACCTAGTTCAATAATTTAGTATTAGAACAATTAATGCAGAGTACATGGAAGTGACAATCATACATGCCAATACAAACAGAAATCATAACAAGGGAAATAAAAGCAGTTCTCTAAATTCAGGGTAACATGACATCAAATATTGGAGGTTTGTTGTCACACTCCCCCCATCCTAAAATATAAGGCGTGCACATATGTCAAAATTCAAACTTTGTTATCATTGACCAACAAATACTCTAATCATATGAATTTGTATTTTAAAATATTTTCTAACGATCAAACTTTTGTTGCCATAAATTATATATTAGCAGTCAAAGTGTGATCTTGAAGACTGCACTAAGTCCAATCCCGCCTTATATTTCATAGGACCCAGGGAGTACTAGATTACAGGAGCGACAAACATCTGTAAATATTACACAAGACCAAACTTCGCATGGCCAGGCCAGTGACTTGTATGGCAAGAAATTATAAATCATTGCTCCTGTAAACCCATGCAGGACAGATAGTTATTATTTGTGGTGCTCATTACTGCTCTCAGCCCATTACAGAAAATCAATTCAGCAGCAACCAAGACGGAAATGCCATAATAGTTGAGAAAGGTAGGAGTAACAAAGCAAGTAAGGGGCCATTAACAATGAGGCTATATTAACTACAAGGGCACCACTTGCATATAAATGTCGGCTATATAGATAGCAGCATAATTTTTGAGGGGGATCGGCAGGGAAGTTCCCTACCTATTTTTTTATAAATATTAACAGGTCCTGCAAGTGCAGGATAGCAGTATAATTCAAAAGCTAGGTGGCTCACAACAGCATAGAAAAATATGTATGTGTTCAATAGCTTTGTATACTACTTCCTCCGTTCCAAATTGTAAGATAGGCTTTTCTAAATACATTGCTTTTACTTGTTAAGTGTATGAACCATGAAGGCCCATGTAGCCCATGTGGCTCTCTCTATATATAGTCATCTCCACTACTGGAGTTATTATCTTCTGAAATCCCCAAGGTTAGCATTTATATCTAAGTGCATAGGAAAAGCTATGTATCTAGAAAAGCCAAAACGTATTATAATTTGGAATGGAGAGTACTTATGTCAAAGGAAGTTCAAATGTCCAGTAGCAACAGGTTTACTTGTTCATTGCAGTATTTTGATGCTCATGCTCCTGTGCCTGCTCCCAGTTGCATAGTTTCAGTTTCTTTTTGGCTCAATAAAATATTCCTTTGAAACAAGAACCATGTTTCTGAAATAAGTGTATTGACTACTTGCTAAACGCAGATGGCATGCATGCTATACAAGCAGCTTCCAACGTACACAATACATAGGATGATGTCTATGCATGTTCTAGTCAAAGTTCGGCTAGGCGGCGACTACGCGCGCCTAGTCGCTGGGCGAAGCCCGTCGCCGCGACTAGGGGCATAGTCGCGATCGCGCGCTTAGGCGGAGCAAATCCCCGACGCCGTCATGAAAGCCTCGCCTTACCGGCCTTGACGGTCGAGGCGCAGCAGCGCGTCGCCGACCCTCGGCCGTCGGGCGGCTGGCGCGTCTTGCGTGTGCCCTTCTCGGCTGGCTGCCTCCGGTGGACGCCGCACCTCCCCACCGCTGCTTGCCCCTCCCCACGCCGGGTGCGGCCCTCTGGTTGAAGCCGCCCCTGCTCTGCTTCACTCGGGGAACTAGGCGCGGCCCTCTGCTCTGCCTCGCCGCCCCTGCTCGCGGCCCTCTGCTCGCTTTCGCGCCCTGCTCGGCTCGCTCGGGGAACCACGCTGACATACCTTCTGCTGCTCGCCGCCCCTGCTCTGCTTCGCTCGGGGAACCAGCGGCCCTCCTCTGCTTCTGCTCTGCTTTCTCTTGGAGCAGAGTAGTTGCTCTGCTCTGCTTTCTCTTGGAGCAGAGGAGAGCTCCATTGCCAAAACGCCTAGGCAAACGCCTAGGAGCGCCTAGGACCGAGTACTCCCGACTAGGCGCTAGGCAATGGGTCAGCGCCTAGATTCCGCCTAGCGCCTAGCTGAACTTTGGTTCTAGTTAACTTAACAAAGCACCTTGAAACTCTCCATTTTGTGCAGTGTTCGAATGCAAAGTACTCCTAGATACTCACATGCACTAATATTTTATAAAATGAAGGTTATAGCATGCAAAATTCAAATCAAGACTCCAGTATCTTGTTAAAAAAATATAGCAAATAGCAAATAACCGGTTCTACTATGAGGATGCAAACTATGGTTGATGTATATAGAGGTACAACCATACAAGAACTAGAAGCGCCGATACAATAAAAGAGGCAAAATCTGCAAAGATCAAGAAACAATGTGCCACAAGTATGGATAGTTATATCAGCGTAGCATTGTGGGGAGATTGCCAGATTGGATAACTAAGCTGAGAACAAAAGCTTGGCAAAATATTGAATTTAACAAAGAACTGGGTTTGAAGTTCAAAAGCATAAGCACATCAAAGTGTCCTTACGAGTTACAATTGTTTTGCAAGTCCTGACTTGAGAGTGACGCTGAACTTTGAACCGAAGACTGGTACTTTTGCACCACAGCACCAAGTTGACTGACCTAATAGAAGAACAAAAGGTGCATGAAATTAAGTCTGTGATCAAAATCACAATGCAGATGAAAAATGCACATTCCATTATCTTTGGGAAAATAATACCTGTGGTATGATTGATCTCCGAGGAATAAGTTCCTCGTGACGCCGGGCACAGAACTCCCACGATGCAATCTAATGAGTACAATGGACACAACAGTTTAACAGTGTTAGATTTATCAGAAGTGCAACAAACTACTCCTGTACTACATAATTATATGCATCATTATAGGTCTTTTCTTCATTCACAAATGTATGTCATCCTATGTTTTGAGGTGGCTTTACAAGTATCCCTTCCTTTAAACCCTTTTGCCTTCCACAATAAAGGGAGACAAGCCTTCCTTTGAATTATAGCTCTACGAATGAATTCATGAGTGCATGCATGCATGGGAGCATAAAAGATTGCCTGGCATAATAAATTTCAGTAATTGCAATATTTTAGAAAAAATTATCTTTAATCACACGAGAAAGCAAAAAAAAATGCACTGCTGCTTGATGACATTAATTAACAAGGCTAGAATGGTAATTTCAGACCAGACTATCACTCAGTTTACCCTAGAATGCCAAACATTTTTTATGCTTGGAACACCATTCCAACAAAATAACGAAGTATCTCATCAACTAGAGAACATATTACCTTCAGGTCTTGGTTGAATACAATTCTTAGATGCCCCTCACGAACTACTCGCAGTTGCTCAAAGACACTCTCCTGGATCGCTTTGGTATAGTCCAAAACAATCTGTCCAGATGAATTCTGGGACTCTCTTGGCATATCAACATACAGAAGCTCCTCAAGTGTACCACTGGCATATTTGATTTGGCACAACCGTGGCAAGACCTCAACCGTCGTTTCTATAAAAGGTAGGATACCATCAAATAGTTAGTAGTGATGCATAATAGCACAGAAATAGAAAATATCTAGTAGGATAGATTTCAATTGCAATTATACCCACCAAAACCTCGCCCTGGCTTCCTATTGCATATCTCACAATGCCAAACATCCTAAAACATAAAATGAAATTGTATACAGGTTAAAGAATAATCAAAAAGACCAAATTGGGGGTATTCCCAAAAACATATCGCATGTAAACAAAAGACTGCATGATTGCTATTAATCATAACAAACACTCAGGGCATTAAAATTTGAACTACCAGCCTATACTCAATGTCAGAGAGAAAAGGTAAACCTGAGGGAAAACTCCGGTGGTTTGACGACCATTGCCATACAGAGAAACACACCACCTCTTCTTGGCACTTGGGGCAAAGTATTCATTGACAAAGTTTCTCCAGTACTCGATGTTATTGTCCTAAGACCATATCTTTAATAATAAGCATCCACCTAGGTTGCAATAATGGCAATATTTATTTGTGAAAATGTTTACCTGTGGCCTGTTTTGCTGGTGATACATGTAATGTGTCAATCTCTTTGCACAGGTCCCTGGTTCATAAGCAGGTGTTTTACCAGTTCGCATATTTAGACTTTGTTGTTGAAGCAACTGCTGGTGCTGATGTTGCTGTTGTTGTTGCTGCTGCTGCTGCTGTTGTTGCTGTTGCTGCAATTGGTTTCTCTGCAAAGGCAGGTTCTTGAGAATCTGCTGCTGTTGCTGTTGTTGCTGCTGCAGCTGCAAGAACCGTTGCTGCTGCTGTAGGAGGCTCAACTGAGTAGCTGCAGCCTGGGGTTCTGCTTAGACAGCTGCAACATGTGTTGCTGCTGCTGCTGTTGCTGTTGCTGTTGCTGTAGGAACACAGATGGGTCTGAGCTTGGTGCTCCATCTTGACAGCACCCAAGCTCCTCAACGCTTGCAACTGTGGCTCGAGCTTCACACCGCCGCTCGAACAGCGCAGCATCTGTGTGGAAACACTCTGATCAGGCTGCCCCATCTGCTGCTCCAGTTTGACCCCACCAAGGACGCCTCCGTTCTCCAACTTCACCGCAGGCTGCGGCTGCGGCTGCTGCTGCTGCTGCTGCTGAGGTTGTCGCATCATATGCTGCTGATTATATGCCAATGGCATTTGCTGTTGCTGCTGTTGTTGATTCCGTGAATCTTGCGGTGCATCCAGATGCTGCTGCTGCTGTAAGCCGTCAGCACCAAGCTGGTTGCCCGAACTACCAGGGCCGGAGGGCGAGAACACCATGGAATCCGGCCCTCCAGTGCCAACCAAATCACCAACACCATCAAGGCCGCCTCTGTGCTGCATCCCACCGATCGGGAGACCGGCACCGGTGCCCGGCATTGCCCCAGTCCCCCCATTCCCATACGACTGCTGCCTGCTGAGCATGGACGCGACACTGGACGCGCCCGCCAGCAACCCGTTCCCGCCGCCGCCATACTGCGTGCGCGGCGAGACGAGGGACGAGAAGGGCGACTGCGACGGGAGCACCCCGCCGCCCATCCCCATCCCCATCCCGGGCTGGCCACCACCGGCGCCGGCGCCGCCGCCGCCGAGGAGGCTGGAGCTGGTCCGGAGCAGCGACGCGCCCACCTGCTGCTGGCCCGGGCCGCCCAACGGGTTGGGCTGCCCCGACGGCACCATCTTGCCAACAAAATCCAGCCGGGGAAACCGTACCTTCACTCCGCGGCGCAGGAACGACGGTCGAGATCCGCCGCGCGTCAAGCATCCGCCGCAGCGCGGCAAATCTAGCCGAGATTGCGACTCCTCCGGTGCCAGCCGAAACCCGAGCCGGGCGCAAGCGTCAGCGTCTGCGCACCTCCCGGCCACCTTTCGTCCCGTACTCCAGCGCGCGGAACCAAGCGAGCGAGTAGCGGCACCGAGCAGGCAGGCCGAGGGGAAGGAAGCGCGGATTAGCTAGCCCGAAGCAGGCACGGAGCTCCTCCGCAGCCCCGCGTCTCCGAAAGCGAGCTGGCCACCAGGGGAATTACGGCCGGCGGAGTCACCGCCAGAGCCCGCCCTCCGCGCCTCCTCGATCCGAGCGAGCCCGCGGCGGAATCCGGCGATCCGGGGCCTCAACTCAACCCCTCCTCCGCGGCAGCAGCGCAAACGTCCTCCTCCTCCGGCGCCGAGGTGGCGCGCGGGCTCCACACTCCCGCTAGGGCGACTCCGCTGGACTTCCCGCGAGGCGAGCGGCAGGACGAGGAGGAGGAAGCGGAAGCGAGCGAGGGAAGGGAAGAGATGGGAGTAGTAGCAGCAGTAGAAAATCCTGCGACTCGGGTGCGTGCGTGTCCTTGCGGACGTCAAAACCTCACAACCGCATTGGATTCCGACAAGGTCCCGCGACCGCCGCGCCGCCCGCCCGCCCGCCCCGCGTCGCTGACGCGCGGGCCCTCCACGTGGAGGGCCGGGTGTGGACCCCGAGGACGAGGGAGACGTTACGCGGGCTGCTGCTGCTGCGGGCGCTCGCGTTCGTGTTTGTGTGTGCGGCTTTGTTTTCTTGTTTCCCCTCCTCGTCTTCCCTTTCCGCCGCTGGCGCCTGGGACTCTGGCTTGGGCTGGGTGTGCGACGAAGTCAAAAGGAGCCCGGGCGGCGTCGGACCCAGCGCCGCGCGCGTTGCGGCCACCGGTGCGCGGGGCCCGCTGGTGGTGGGGTACGGGGTGTCAGTGACGTGGGGTGCGGCAGGCGGGGATCGGGCGTGCGCGGCACCGCGGGGACGGACGGTGACGGCATGGTGGTGTGTGTGTGCTCGCCTGGGCTGCCTGTGCCTGGCGTCTGCGTTGTCAGTGCTTCTGGTGAAGCGCTGATGGATGGGAGCCGTCACGTCCACCTACGACTAGTCCTGTCGCTCGCCGTGTGAACGCGCCGTGGGCGGACGCTCACTCCATGACCCCCGTCATTCCTGCTCGGACCATTTAGATCCTGTTTGGCTTCGACTTCGGCCTCCGAAAAAAAAGTCTTACGGTTCGAGGAACTATTTGGATCTGTTTTTCTACCTAAAAAAAGAGGAGCCAAATTTGCTGTAAGAGTTAGGGGCTGTTTGGGACTGCTCCACAAACTCTGCTCCACAAACTTCACCGTGGAGCAGCTCCACAAAAAACTGGAGTTTGTGGAGTACCTCTTTAGGTGCTCTCACAACTCCACCCTTTTTTCTCGAGCAGAGTGCGTGGGCTCAAAACCATTTGGCTAAAAAAGCGTGGGCGGAGCTGAAAAACGCGAAATGTGAGCAGAGTCCCAAACACCCCTTAGTCGTGAGAGCTTTGAGAAATATGGATGTTGTGTCCTTGTGTCTTGGTGATCTGGGACACATGAGATCTTTGTGACCTTACGCTGAATCTATGGTGGCCTTCAAGGCAGTAATCCTCCATGTGTGGTGCGGCATGGAGCGGTGTCATATCAGCGCGCGGGGATAAGGAGATCCCCTTGCCTCAGGTGGAGAAGCTCCATAGTAGAAACAACATCAAGGTGACACAACTATCGGGTGACAATGGTGAGACTTGTGTGACTCATGCACTGGAATTTGGTTGTAGAGGCCTCGCGTGGCAAATCCATCAACATATATGACCAGGAGAAACTTGGTGATTGGGAGGCGTACCACAGTGGACCTCCAACAAGGAGTAGGTTGTTGCGTTTTAGCAACCAATACCATAGATATCGGTGGGTAGGGGTAAGGAGATCCCCTTGCCTCATGTGGAGAAGCTTCGTTGTAGATACAACATCAAAGCGATAGAACTATCGGGTGATAGTGGTGAGACTTGTGTGACTCATGCACTAAAATTTGGTTGTAGAGGCCTCATGTGACAAATCCATCAATATATATGACCAGGAGAAACTTGGTGATCGGGACGTACCATGGTGGACCTCCAACGTGGAGTTGGTTGTTGCGTTTTAGCAACTAATACCATAGGATACATAGTTGCATCTCTAGGAGTTTGTCCTCTCAAACTTGAACTTCTTACTTACTGTGTGCCTATGTGACATTAACCTTCCTAGGTTAGTTATAGGCTAGTTGATAAGATTGTCTTTATGTTGTAAAACTCTTTGTGGGTTAAGGATAAGTTAGAGCGCGCTAGAAAAATCTTAAACACACATCATGCTAGAGTAGTTTATGTTTTTTAATTGTTTTTGACAATATAGTGGTAGTTTAAATTGAGCCAGAGGATTTAAGTTTAAATTGAAGAACAAGAAGGTGACTCTAACTCCAATGCCTCCAAGTCCACCTCCGGTTGCCGAAAAAGAATTGGTTTATGATATCAGTTGGCTTCCACTTGATCAAGTGGAAAGACCACCCATTGCAAATTACCCCATCAATGATCAGGATGCAGTTCGACAATCATATATTATTAAAGCCCATTCTAACTTTATGCATATGAATTCAAAAGTAGAAGAATCGCAAATAGGAGTCAACAATTCAATCCTATATGGTTTAAATTTATAAACATCCTTGGATTGAATATTTGTATCAATTTCTTTCTGTGCTACTTATTTGCAAAGGAGAAAACTAAAAAACATGCATTTGTTGAAGGTGGACAGAGAAATTGGAATAGAAATGATGCACTTGATTTACATATGGGTGGTGTAACAAGTGTTTACAATGCAGCTAAAGAAAGATACAACTTATTTATGGTTCCCCATGGAACAAATTGATGATAAAATTTGTGAATGTAGATAGTGAGGAGCAACGTCTCTACAAGATCAGGTTGGTTTATTCACTTATATGTTTGAAGTTTCTTTCAAAGCAAGGATTGATATTTTCATGGGCATAATGAAATTGTGTAGCCACAGAGAGAACTTTATTGGACTTTTGAAGTGGCTTACACTAAATAATGAAGAGGTGGAGAAGTTTATTTTGAAGAATGCTCTAGGTAATTACACATTGACTAGCCCAGATATAAAAAAAGAAATTGTGCCACGGAGACTAGAGATCATTAAGGAAATTGATGAAGATCACTATACAATTTTAGCTAATGAGTCTAGTGATGCCTCTCATAAAGAAAAACTAGCCCTTTGCTCGCATTATGTTGATAAATTAGGAAGGCCATCCAATCGTGGTTTCTTGTAATTGTTCATGTAGATGATACTACTTTTCCATCACTCAAGGAAGCAATGAAATCTTTAATTGTTAGCCATGGTTTGACTATAACTTAAATTTGTGGTAAAGGCTATGATGGGGTTGGTAACATGAAATGAGATATTGAGTGGATGAAAACATTGGCTATGAAAAAGCTTACCTACGCTTATTATGTACACAGGTTTGCACATCAACTCCAACTAGTTCTTGTTGCTATTGCAAAGAGAAATAATGATTGTGTGTTCTTTTGATCAAGTATCCCTCTTGCAATCTTGCTAAATATAGTTGGTGTTTCTTGCAAGTGTCATGGCATGCTTTGACATCACCAATATGACAATGTCATGAAAGCACTTGAATATTTTTTTATGAAACAGGAGTGGAGAGTCCCTTACCAAAATCAATTTTATAGATATAAGTCTGTATAAAAGGAGAAAAAGAGGCAACTATACAAAAGGCTAAAACAAAGAGAGCCAATCCTAAAAGATTTCTATGAGGACTTGCACCTAAGAATGTTAAGACTAAGTTCCTCACAAAGGAGGGATTTCCAATGCCAAAGAGAAAAAAAAGCACTTGAATGTGGTAAAACTAGAATATGGAAATGGGTTAAATCAAGAGATGGGACTGCCTAGACCTGTGAGACTCGGTGGGGCTCTCATTGTAAAATTGTGGTCAATATGATTGCTATGTACCCAAAAATTCGTGATATACTCGTAGCTCTTGGAGAAGATACTTCACAAAGGGGTGAATGGCAAAAAATACGTACTATGGTTGGAGTACTTGAGTCATTTGAATTATTTTTAGTGCTCATTTTAAGCTTGAGATTCTTGGACACACGAATGAATTTATTCGAGTGTTTGTAAAGAAGAGACCAATATATTCCATGCAATGTTACTTGTCGGTTTTGCAAAGAGTAAATGTAGCAAACGAGGTTTGAAGCCTGGGTTTCATTTCTTTAAAGGGTTTCATTATTTTGAAACAAACATGCATGGCATTCAAGTTCTTGGGATGCAACATAATTATCTGAGGCATGGAAGATCAGCACAGTTGCTCAGAACCACACAAATGATAATGATAATCACTTTAGAATATCATAGTCATTGATAAAGTTAGTCAAAAGCTTGACAGTCGATTTGATGAGGTAAATATAGACTTTTTTTCTTGTATGGATGCTTTGAGTCTAGCTGATTCCTTTGCTTATTTTGACGCAAACAAGTCACAAAGACTTGTTGAATTCTACCCCAATGTTTTTTCAACCTTTGACTTGACTTGCAACTTGAAACCTATAATGATGACATGAGAAAAATGAAATGTTCAAAGGCCTAAACAATTAATCTTGTTGGCCTCTTAGCAAAACTTGTTGAGACAAAAGAGGGATAAAGTTTATTATTGGGTATATTTACTTATCAAATTAGTATTGCCTCTACCTATGGCTACCACAAGTGTTAAAAGAATATTTTCTGCAATGGCCTTTAGACAAGCCACTAATATGTATGGTGTAGTACTATAATATATTATTATACTTGTATATATGTTAGCATATATATGCCACTAATGAGCCGAGTCGAGCGAGCTA